GACACCATCTTCATCACCTTGTTGGGCGCTGCATCTGGAAGGCCCCAGTTGGGGTAGTGCTGCACCAACGAAGCTCGAGGCAGAACTTGGAACGGCGGACCAGTCAGCAGCAGCAGCATAGCTGCTTTGGGTTGTCCTTTGGACAGGAGTGCAGCGCCATAGCTGATTTGGGTTGTCCTTTGGATGGGAGGGCAGGACCCTCAGTAGTCCGCCATAGCCTATGCATGTGTGAGGAGGCAGAAGGAGGGAAGCCATGGACTTGTTGTTGTTGCTGTTGTTGAGTCAGCAGTAAGAGGGAACTTCGGATATTAATTCTGGTTCATCCATTCATTGTTATTATTATTATTGAGAGAAGAATAAGATTGGCGAAGTGAAAGAGGAGGAGGAAGGTGGAGAGAGAAGGGTTAATTGTGATTGGTCTTGCTGGCGTACATCTTCTTCTTCTTTTTCTTCTTCTTCTTCTTCTTTCTCTCTTCTCTGGTCTCTATCTCTTTGCAAGTGCTTTCATTTCTTTCGCAATTGGGTGGCATTATCTTTCATTGTGAATTTGCACTTTGGAAATGACCAGGATCGTAACATTATTTTGACTTGCCGAGAGAATAGTAACCGAACTGACGCTCCCCAGAATATTCAGCCAGGGCCATAAGGACCTGGTATGGTGAAAAAAAAAAGAGCAGAAATTTAAAATTAATACGTATGATATTCCTTTGTGTTCAACTTGACTTTTGCCCGAAGTTGGCAACAGGCAATGTCCACCCATAACGGCGTCAGACGCTGTCAGTTCCTCTTTTTTTTCTGTTTTAAAAAAAGAACGGTGATAGCCGTAACATTGTTGTAGTCGTCTAATTCCGTCATGATTCAAACTCATGCTCTGTTTGTCACACAGGTTAAATGATTGTACAATTGAGCGACATTAACTGGGCAGTGTGTCATTTACTCTTGTACTCATTAATCAGTAATTACCAGAGGTTGGAATTCACAGCACTTTCTGGAATATGTATACAAGTTAGTTGCCTGAAAGGAGTATAAGCATGTCTACCAATTCCATCGTATCCTTATGGGTATAGCAGGATTTGAACCTGCAACCATTACTGTCAGTCAGTGATTTGGAGACCTGAGATCTACGTAGGGGGTTGTTGCTCACCTGCTGTCCTGCTTTACTAACTGGAGCTCCCAGCCTTGCTGTCTTTCCTTTTATGCCGCCTTCTCTTTCGAGAAGACATTTTGGAAAATGACTTCCATCAACCTGTTCCCCCCATGAGTTCAGCAGCATGACCCACACAGCAAGCCAAGAGATGACCTTCAGAACTTGAACAAAGCTGAAAAAAAAAAAGCTCAACGTCATAACCCTTCACAAAATAGTAAAATACTGTTGTACAACGCAGTGCAACTTTCTCTCTCTTACTTATGGACCCATTGGTCCCATTTTCGATTTGTGTACGTCATTCTTATGCAGGGGTGATGCTAATATTCTCTGAATCCATCTAACTCTAACGGATCGCCTTGACCATTCTTTTAGTGGATCATCCTGCACACTTTCAACGTTTGACTGTTTCTCATTTTTAAAACTCCCCCCCTCCACCCCCCTCACCCCCCCTCCCCCCACATCATGAACTGGTAGAATGAGGAGGGGGTCGAAGGGAGTGTCAGGGATGGCTTTGCAGCGACTCTCTCTCTCTCTCTCTCTCTCTCTCTCTCTCTCTCTCTC